AGGACTTACTCTAATCTATTTGTCTAACACAGATACTAGGATAATTAACTAAAGGCTTTCTAGCTCTAAGTTTTTAACGCTGCTTACACAGCTAAAATAAGCTAGATAGAAGATTAATTCTACTTAGCAAACGTCTAAGAAGTCTAAGACTACGAACACTATCGTAGCTTATCTTATTAATTCTCACACTTTAAGGGATCTAAGTAATGCTATCTTTAACCTTAACTATAGTGGTTACCTATTTTCCTATAGCACGATCTTCGACGGCAATGGCGCGCTCTACCTTGCTAATAATTAGAATCTATTAGTCTTAGGAATTTATAAGAAGTGCTTAGACTACCTAATAGTGAAGGCTAGTACTTAATCCTTACTAGTCTTAAGGGTAGGTAATTAACTATTTGTAGATTTCTTTAATAGACTAGACAGTCTATAAGACTTATTACTTAAGAATATTATAGTTGTTAAAGGATTTTATGTTAACATTATTTCTAAAGCTTTACTTAAGAAAGTCGAATTCTAGTACACTAGTTATAATTAGACTATCTGTTCTAGGGATATAGAGTACCGCATTATTCTTAGAAAGCTCTACGTCGCCTATAACCTAGTCTTTATTAAAAACAAGCTATTCTGTTGTCCTTCTGTGCTACTATTAGTAAATAGTGTAAAACAATTAGCTTAGCTAAAACATTAATTAGATAATAAGTTTTTGTAGAATTAAAGATTAGGCTACATAGGTTAGAAAGCTTTACAGGCACTCGCCTAAGCTGCCTAGAATGTTAGGATCGAAGGCACCCAACGGCTAGAGTGTGAGCATTGTACTACTACCTATGCCACATAGGTGATCTCTCGGAGACCAAGAGAGCGATCTCCCCGACTATTCTATCGAGTCTCGTGGCATCTGTTCGATTTTCCAAAGGGACGATCAAATAAGTAGTTTGCTCTAATTACTAAAGAAGATTTTTTAGGCAAAATCTTCAAATATAATATCTAAGGGAAGACTCTATTAGAGATTATACGGGTAATTATAGCTTTTAAAGCTTAGGTACAACAGAAGTACAGATTGCGGATCGTAGAAATCTATTAGGATAACGATACTGCTACTTTGCCTTAGAGAGGGCGATTAAGATACGAGGAATAGGCTAAAGAGAAAGGGATTATAATCCTTAGTCCTCCGCTATATACACATAAGCTAAATAGCTTAGCGGAGTAGGCGGGCTAAGAGCTAATTACAAAGTCGATTAAAATGCGCCTTAGCGTAAACTTCCCTATGAAGCTCTAGCCTAAGATTATAAATGCGGTGGCTTACCTATACGTAAAAAGCCTTACTATAGTTTATTAGTACTAATCTCCTAATAAAATCCTTAAGAGCTAGTTTAGGAAGTACCTTAGATAGTACGAGCCTGCGCAGATTAGACACTACACCGTGGATCTGCGACTAGATTAGAGTAAGATCTACGCCTATAGCTGTCGCGTATATCCCTGAGATTAGGACTGCGTAGTAGGGCGAGATCGTTGTAGATTTAAAGTTAATCTAAGGGGTTATATAAGATATTTAGTTAGCTATTAAGCGTCTAATCTCTATAGGATATAGATCTCTATTACTAATTAAGTAATTACTTCTCGCGATGTGTCCTTTAACAAGACTCGTTTCTACATAAGGAAGAACGAGGATAAAATACTAAAGGAATAAGTAATTAAACTTACAGATGTGCTTAGTATTAGAGAATTGCATAATCTAGGGGCAGATATTAATATCCTGTCTTTTAGAGATTATGTAATCTAGGCGATAGATCTAACTACTAAAAGTAATCTTAGGGGTGAGCTACCTAAAGGACCTAAACTAAAGGCTAGCTAGCTAGATAATTAGGAATAAGGGTAAGCAAAGAATAAGCGAAGTAATTTACTAGCTAGTAATTATTTAAGAATTCGCACAGGTTAGAATCTAGGATATAGACTTATAACCCTAGAGCAGACGCCTAAGCCGTATAGCTCTAGGATAGATACTAATTAGCGTTTTTTATCTAGTATTTAATAAGGAATATATTAACCCTATAAAATTAGAGATCTTAATATAGGTAATCTAGTTATCACTTAATTACGTAGCAAAGGGCTAGAGCGCCTAACGTAACTCAATAAATCTCTTATATAACTAGTGTCTACTAACGCAGATAATTAAGAGGGAATAAGTACTTAAGAATAAATAGTTACTTAAGGCACAAGACGTCGTAGACGTCTGCGCGCATTAGCGGGATCTTCCTTAAGGGTGACTGCGCCAACAGGGGATCTAGATGTTAGATTAAGTGCGCCTATAGAAAGGACTAGTAGGAGACTCTAGGGAGATTAGCTAGAGCCTAATATAGTCTATCGCTATATACCTATTAGGCGTAGACGAGGCAGAAGCAAGGATCTAGACGATTAACTAGGGGGTGGAGCTACACCTAGAGGTGTGCACGCATTAATCGCGGATCTCTAAGATATAGATAGTCCATAGAGCAATTTTAAGCACACGTATATACTAGGGATAAATAAGACCTAGGAGGATTAAGCAAGTTATAAGACGCTAAATACTGTAGTTATATCAGCGACGATTAATCTATCTATACTACAGGCACTTAATTTAGGGGATCGTCTATATAGGGACGTCCTACCTAAACCACCACTAACATAGCGCGAGCTACAGAGCTATTTAATACGCCCTCTGTTTATAGATGCCTCTAACAAGGACATTAATTTGCTTAAGAAAAAAGGTACATAGACTAAGATCCTAATAGATTAAGTCCCTAATAAGCTACTCCCGCTTTAATAGGTTTAGACATATAAGTGTAATTAGGATAGGTACCTTAATTAAGGCAAAACTCGGATTATTGTAAGAGGCGATCTCTAAGAAAAAGACTCGCTAGATTCTACTTATACAGCCACGTTGGCGGCTAAATCCTTTAGGACCGCTATAGCGATCGCAGCTAAGTTTAATATAGAGATTATGCAATTTAATGTCGTAGGAGCATTCTTAAATGCTAAGATTACGGCAGAAAATCCTATATTCTATTAGCTACCTAACGGATTTAAGAAACCTAGAATATGTGTTCGGCTTAATCGCGCGTTGTACGGATTAAGAGACTCACTACTCCTCTAGTATAAGCAGTTCTCTAGATCGCTTAGAAAAGCAGGACTAGAGTGCTTAAAGGGAGAGCCTTGCCTATTCCTAGACAAGGATCGTAAGTTCTTATTATTATTCTATGTAGACGACATCCTGCTTATATTTCGCAAAGAGTTTAAGGATCAAGCTATAGAATTGTGGAAAGTAATTAGTTCGAAGTATAAGATAAAGGCACAAGGACTAGTTAAGTAGTTCCTTAGGGTTAGGGTTATTCAGGACCAAGACTTTTGGACGATTACCCTAGTCTATAATATATACATTAACAAGATCACTAAGAAGTTTAGCTTAGAGGATAGAATATTCCCTTTTACGCCGCTACTATTAGAAGAACTAATTAAGTCTAATAGAGAGGCAACTAAGCAGCAGATTAAGGTATACTAGGAAAGAGTTAGATTAGTCCTATACACAGCTATTATGCTTAGACCTAACGTAGCCTTTGCTATCTCTAGGCTGTCCTATTTCCTAACTAATCTAAGTAATCAGCATATAAAGGCGGTAGAATAAGTAATTATATATCTATATAAGACTCGATATAATGCTATCTAGTATAGGCACTACAATAGACTAGACCTAGTTATCTGTGGCGACGCGTCTTTTGCGGATGATCCGGAAACGCGTCGCTCATCGCACGGCTACATTGCGATGCTCTTTGGCGGCGCAATCTTCTAGAAAGCGACGCGCCAAAGTATAGTAACTGTTAAGAATATCTGGGTTCAGTCCAAGGTAGAAGGCGATTGAGAGTCACGTGATGTGCTGGTGTGGCAGGTACTGCCCGGTAGGCAATAGCACCCACCACAACAGCAAAAGTAAGAGAGACACTCAACACGATAGAAAATACAATACGTTGCAGCCACCCCGCCTTATCCCTCCTCCCACTCGGTTATCCACAGTAGTCATACTACTAGAGGGACCTTGTTCCAATAGTAACTACCTTAACTACTAAAGCTAAACTCCTTACTCTTAAGCATACAGCTAAGGAAGCTATAGCACTTAAGCGCTTCTTTAAGGAGCTAACCCTTAATCTTAGGGACGTTTAGAAGATCTAGTGCGATAATTAATAAACAATTCGGCTAGTTATTAGGAAAAATAAGCAGATCACAACAAGACTACAACATGTAGACATTTAGAACATATAGCTTAGGCAGGAGCACGCAAAGGGATCGTTCTAGGTAGAGTACCTAGAGACTAGCTTAATGCTAGCCGATGGTCTCACAAAGTCGTTGACCTAACAACAGTTTAAGAAGTTTAAGGCACAGCTTAATCTTTAAGATGCGAAATAATAGATCGCTAATTAATAGAGCGTTATTTTAGGAAATTAGTCTAATTAAGGAAACTACTATACAAGGCTTAAGGCTGAAGGCTTTAATTAGCTAGAATGCGTTATCAGCGAGGCTTACCTAAGAAGAAGTAAGAGATTAATAGAAAAGAAAAGAACTTAAGCTTTATTACGCTTAAGCTTCTTAGTAAACTTAATAGCTATCTTACTAATGCGATTAGTAAAGTCTTAAATAGACTTGCGACGAACAGCAGCGCGATTAGGAATAGCAAGACGCTAAGGCTTTCGAGTAGACGAAGGACTAGCAGAAGGCTTACGATTAAGAAAAGGATTCTACTTATCCTAGCGAAAGATGCTCGTCTTATAAGTAGGCGTAGTGTAGTTAGCCTCGCTAGAGAGATCAACATAGTCCTCCTCTTTCTAAGAAGAGCGGGCATAGTATTTATTAATGTCGAAAACAACGTCCTCCTTTCTAGAAACGAATTAATTATTGTTGTTATAAGACACGGGGGCCTTCTTAGAAGCGCGAGTAGATAGACGTTTAGACTTAATACGATTATTAATCTTCTAGATTATCTTAAAGACAATATCGTAGTACTTCTTAATAATATACTAGACGACCCTATTAGCTATACGTAAGCTATTAATTAACTAGAGCATTACTTACAAAGGGAGTGTCCTTGCGCTGCTTACGCATATCTTGCTTTATAGCGGCGTAAACGTTACTAGCAATCGACTCGTCGCTAAGAACAGCATTAGCTAATCTAATTAAGATTAGAGACTAAGCGCGAAACTTATACTAGAGCATATAAATAGCTCCTGTAGGCCTTAGAGCGACTGCTCTTACTATTAGCCTAATTATAACAAAGACTATTACTATTGTTTAAAGCCTACCGCTTAACGCAACGCTCGTAGGCGAACTTGCGAAGAGCACTAGCTTAAGAGTTATATTACTTCTTAACAGACGAGCGGGCAAACGGGCTTACATTATCGTTGATTGAAGAGGCGGTGCGGCGACAAGACTTAGGCCTAGAGCGATCACTAGTAGTAGAACGAGGAGCGCTAGCTAAACGCGAGCTACTAGAGGCAGTAATCTTAGAGTTGCGAGCATGTTTAGTATTAGCTCGTTAAGCCGCCTTACCGCGTGTAGTCCTAGGCTATATTTCGTTAGTATCTTGCTTACTCACTACTACGCAGCTGCTCAAACTTACCATGACTAGAGCGGCGACGACGAAGACGAGCAGAGAGTGTGCTATGCGGGAATGCGAAGGAGTGATAGTGCGGAGTAAAGGCGATAGTAAGGATTTTTGTGATAGTAAAGTAGAAACATAAAGCAGCTAAGCAAAGGACTAAGCCATAGGCATTAATATTAGGGTTTAGCGCTAGCCTAGCGGGGGCAACACTCTCAACGTTGCTAGTGTGATACTCGCCGACTAGTTTTTAGCATAACAAACAATCTCCGACTATTCACAGCGCAAGGATTATTAATCATCACCGCGCACCTCACGAAGTCTTTAAAACGCAAGATTAACCGCTCAACCGCAAAAAGACTTAGGACTAGGACATTAACTAATACAGATGTTATTTTTCAGCAGGTCTCTACACATACAGTCGGGTGACAGAAAGAAAGAGACTTTTTAAAATTTACCTTTTTCTAAGCTCTATATCTAAAGAACTAGACTAGCTAGACTAATAAATTTTAGTTCTCTAGAAAGCTAAGAACATTTTTTTTAAGATGGGTTACTAAAAAGGATGCTAAGTAAGCTTACGTCTGAGTAACTCTAGTAGTGTTTAAGAGTAGAAAAAAGTAAGCTACAAATCTAAGTATAACTTTTTATCTACAGTATCCTTTTAGCTAAAACTCTTATATGCTATTTATTACGTATAGATCTATACAATGTTCAAATTAGAAGTTATTCTACTTGTGTTTGCAAGAGTAAGGCTAAAAAGAAGTTTTTAAAGCTTTTTTTATATTAAAGTAGCCAAAGCTAGTTACTAGTACTTAGTATACCAACCTCTAGCTGCTTTTACTGCTAGATAACGCCTAGGTAAAGACCTAATACAGTTATCTATTACCTCTTGCGGTAATTGCTCCCACTCTTCTAGAATTGCTTGTTTAAACAATTCTACTGCCTTAGTACTCTTACCTATGCCTAAAGAGGCACTAGGCCTTTTTGCTAGCTTATTCTTAAGTAAGCTCCAAACGTTTTCTATAGGATTTAGATCTGGGCTATAGGCCGGATGCTCGAAAAGAGGAACTTTATTCCTGGAGAACCAAGAGATAACTGCTGGCGTTTTATGGATCTTGGCGTTATCCTGCTGAAATTTCCAACCTAAATAGAATTAATTATTAAATTTAAGAATAAAAAGAAAAACTTAAAAAGTATCAAGAAATTCAAAAGATATAGTCTTTTAAAGTAAGAAAGAAAGACTTCTTACTTACCTCTTTTAAATAGAGGTTTAACAATAGGTACAAGTACTTCTCGTATATAACGTGTATTTGTAAATGTTCTAGAGTCCTGTAGAGATCTAGTTATGTGTAACTTAGATCTTCCACCTATCCAGATAGCTCCCCAAACACCTATCGAGATATCGCGGGTTATATCTCTGTTAGTAAGCTAGATAAAAATGTACTAAACTCCTAGAAAAATACTAGATTTTTCAAAGAATATTTTAGCTTATTTAAGATATTTTTTAAACTCACTTGAGTTGGTTGTTTGGACCTGTTCCTTTCCAAGTCGCTTATTTCTTCTCTTTCTAACGTATTCTTGCCTAGCACCATACCCACGCTGTATAGAAGACTCGTCAGAAAATACAACTTTGCTAAAGTTTATATTTTTAAGAATTTTAAGTGTCTTCTTAGCGTAATTCTTGCGGTTAGTAGCTTTTTCTGCGTTTAAAAGCTGCTTCTTTCTAGCTAGAGATTTTGAGTATTTCTCTGCTTTCAATAAGCGTTGTAGGCTTCTAGTAGAGAAATCTAGATTATTCTCTACTAGAATACGCCTATTTGTCTTCTTAGGACTTCTTTCTAGGTCTCTATTAACTACTCGAGTAGTTCGTTTAGAGACCATAGTAGGGCGGCCTAGTTTAGGCGTAGAAAGAGGTAGAATAGGACTTTTCTTCTTCTTAATACGTTGTAAAGTATTATAAATAGACTTATAAGGCTTTTCTAGTATAGTACTAATAGTACTAGTAGATTTTTTTTTGCAAAGATAGAGTATAAACTTCTTTTTCGAATTTA